CTCCAGTCCTCAGGCCCCTCACCCATTTCCTGTAATTTCAATAAAATAAAGGACAGCAGTTCTGAGAGTTCTTCAGTACTCTTGGTGGCAGTTCATCCGGCCCTGGAGATTTGAACCCGTTCATGGTGGTAAGGTATTCCTTGACCATTTGTTTATCAGTCTCCAGCTGCAATTGTGTCCCCTCCACTTGCACTTCACATTTGTCTGTTGTCAGTTCATTTGAGGGCCTAACCTGCTGATCATACTTTTATAAAAGCTGGCATGATCATAAGCTTAGGTATACAGAACAATTGCATTATACTGACACAAAGGGCCTTTTTCATATAAAAGCAATTATGTTAGGTTTCTCATCAGGACATTTGCAGAAGGAGTAAAACACTACTGAGTTTACAGTCACTTTTACATTCAAAGACAGAAAAAAAATATACATTTTACCATCAGTCTCACAGCATATCCAGACTATTGTTCTTTTCCAACTGTGATCTTTTTACAAAAGGTCCCAGTGGGGAACTGGGCATTGTTGATTTAATGGTAAAATTTATATTTTCTACTGTCTTTAGATATGAAGGGTATTGTAAACCTAGTAGTTTGTGAACTGTATCACTCATAAATCCCTAAAACCTTCTCTCTTTTTCAACCATGACATTTCACAACTAGCTTTATCTGCTGGAGAAAATTCCTCTCAGCAGCTCAGGGGGGGAAAAAAAACCCCTTTTTCCCTGTTAAAGTTTCCCCAGAAAACTCCCCTCTGATAATCCTGTTTCATTCGTATAATTCTCACTAACTCAGTACTTGTTGCTTCTATGGTCTGTGAGGAAGAATATCTTCGGCATTAAATGAATCATGATAATTATCCTTGTTTTAATGAAAAACACATAATCCAAATATAAGTGTCTGGATGAATACATACCTGCAGTGCTACATTTAAAAAAGCAGATACCCCAACATATCTTTTCAGTCAGATCTAACTTTTATTGTGCCATTACTTTTTTAGGCTTTCCAGGGCTCTTTTTCAAGATTCTTGCTTGTGTGAAGAGCCTACACAGGAGCAAGACTCTTCTCCTCTTCAGGCACACTGTTCTCCACATGGAAAAAGCAATAATGGAGAAGAAAAGAAGCACTCTCCTTTCTGAGTGCATTGCTGAGAATTCGGTAAGAAATGGCTGAATTGGGCTCCAATATATGCTCACATGATGTAATATTTTGCACAGGACTGGTACAGGGACTGGATTTTCAGTGATGGAGGCCCACAATGAAATGGATCTAGACATTTTGGGATTGTTAGTGTTGTAGGACTGCGGTTTTTTTTCCAAAGAGGAAAGTTATAACCAGTTATAACCAATTTTGAGAGCTAATTTTAGGATCTGAAAATACAAGGTGTTTGCGTATATGAAAGACTTGCTCATACAGATGGTTTGATACTTTGAATCATGCAAAGAGATGGCAATGGGATTAGTAAAGAGAAATTATATTCTCTATAGATTTTGGCATACCATTGATGATAACACTAGAAAGAAATGAAAAAGGGGAAATGTCACAGTGACAGCAAAGTAGAGAAATAATGGTATTACATTGTCTTCTAAATCCAATGTCCTAGTGCATGATTTCTGCTAAAGATCCAGTAACACTTTCTGGTCCCAATAAGCCTAGGAAATGATGCAACAGATGTATGATCTTTAGAGTTAAACCACATGAAAAGTCTTGTCAGAGTCTCTGAAGCCATGGAGAGGTCAGCTCCTATTCAGCTCTTTCATCTTCAAATCGTACAATTTGGGGCAGCAGTATAGGATTTTGAAATTTAATGGGAAGGAAGCATGCTAGAGGTCACTCATTGCATTGTTCCTATTCAGAGTGAGGTTGGGATTAGTGGTACATGTCCTGTAAACCTGACATTTATGGGTCTATGTATTCTACTGAAAGTAATTAGGCAGCCTCCACTACTGGAACTGAGCTATCATGTGTCCAGTAAAGGCTTCTGACTTTTTGAATGTTCAAGTGTTCTCTAGTATGGTTTCAGATAAGATAATTGTGTGGTGTAAAAACTTCGCAAGCATCTTAGTTAAAATTAGACAGGACTAAATTAATAACTTTATCTTCTTGGTGGTGTTATTGAACCATTTGGAAACATTGACTGACTGGGAAGCTTTTCATTGAATGGTATTATGAATTCCTAACAGATCTGGAACCCCTTCATGGATTGCTGCCTTGTCGTGGCGAAGGGGCTTGAGTAATTCAGAGAAGCAATGGGCTATGCTGTGCAGGGACACCCAAGATGGACAGGTCATAGGGGAGAGTTCTGACTAAATGCGATCCACCTGGAACAGGAGCTGGCAAGCCACTCCAGTATCTTTGCCAATAAAACTCCATGGACAGAAACAAAAGGCTAAAAGATATGATGCTGGAAGATGAGCCCCTCAGGTCGAAAGGCATCCAACATGCTACTGAGGAAGAGTGGAGGACAAATACAAGTAGCTCCAGATCTAATGAAGTGGTTGGGCCAAACCTGAAAGGACGCTCAGCTGTGGACGTGCCTGGAAGTGAAAAGAAAATCCAATGTGGCAAAGAAAAATACTGCATAGGAACCTGGAATGTAACCTTGGTAGGCTGGATGTGGTCAAACAGGAGAGGGCAATAATAAACATTGACATCCTGGGTGTCAGTGAACTTAAATGGATGGGAATGGGCGAATTCAATTCAGAAGATTACCATATCTACTATTGTGGGCAAGAATCCCATAGAAGAAATGGAGTCGCCCTCATAGTCAACCAAAGAGTGGGAAAAGCTGTACTGGGATGCAATCTCAAAAATGATAGAATGATTTCAATACAAATCCAAGGTAGACCTTTCAACATCACAGTAATCCATGTTTATGCACCAACCACTGATGCTGAAGAGGCTGAAATAGACCAACTCTATGAAAATATTTTCAGTTGACACCCTGAAATGTGAAATGTGATACAAGAAATGTATGTATTATATAGATAGGATGGTAAAGAAACCATAAATTTAATAACATATACTGTTTTTGTTTTACTTAGGGCCCAATCACACCTGCCAAAAGAACCCCACTTATACCTATTTGCATTGTTTTTTTAGCTTGTTTCATAAATTTCCATACACACGATACATGGCCAAGATTAACTCATTTTCCCAGCTAGTGGTGCATTTCCAGTACATTTTCCCCCTCGTTGAGAGGGTGATTTTAAATTGTACTGATGATGTATCATTCCTTACCAGTATACCATATATACATGTTCCTTTCAATTCTTTTCCCCTCCTAGGTCACCAGGGGAGGCGACCACCATAATTGCCACATGACTGCTGTATTTGGTTTTTATTATTTTTTCATGGCTGGTATACGGATATATCAATAAAACTCAGTGCAGATTGACTTCTGTGTGCCATTAGTCTTGCTTACTGCTTAATGCCTCAGCCTACTGTTTGCCAAGTGGCATAGCCATACAGGCGGAGGCTGGGACCATGGTGGGCAACCCATTACTTCCAGAGTTGCAAGCATCACAGATCAAACATTCCTGAATGGGAATCCCTTTCTGCTATATTGATGTATCATTTAGGGTAAAAAAAAAAAAGTAGGGTCAGCACCGCTTCAGGAAACGTCAGAAAAAATAAATTGATTCCATTATGTAACCTGCAATAACATTTCAAATAGGAATAAATGAATCAATATTTTGAAAACCAATGGGAACATTCCTACCGGTATATATACCATGTGACCGTGAAAATAAAGAATGCAGAGGGAAGCATGTTTTTCAGTTGGAAAGCAAGGTATTATACGAGAGGGTCATTTATTTCAAATTGCTTGTGAAATCAATTTATTTTTACTTGTTTTGGCATATTTAAATGCCTATTTCAGTGTAATTGTGTCTGTGGGTTTTGTCAAGTAAATGAATGCCAGCATCATGGGTTTCAGGTTGCAGGAAAACCTTGCAGTCCAATCTAAAAAGAGAACCAGTAGAAAGAGGAATGTTGAGTGGGGAAAATGCTCCCTCCTTCACATGTTCAGAAGCTGCCAATCTTGTCAATTACTCTGGTCAGTTTCTTTTTGCCATTCACTGGTGTACTTCCTTCTCACTAGCCTGGACTGACAATTCCCTCTTCTTCTCTACTCTTACTCTTACTCTTACTCTGTGTGTGTGTGTGTGTGTGTGTGCATGCACATGTGTTGGGCTGCAAAGAAAGCTTGCAGACTAATCTGTTTTAATATTTTGTTCTATCTGTCATACTGAACTAGCGCTATGCCAGAAGAAATTTTTTTTACAAGAATTTTTTTTAAAAAATTAAAACAAGTTCCTAGCAGCAGCTGTGAGAGGCAGCCAGTGCAAGGTTGTGTGGGCACAAGACAAAGGCTCAGATGCAATGATTATAAAAGCCAATGTTCCCATCTCAACCAATATACAACACAGTTTTAAAACAAACTAAAATGTTCACAAAAGCACACACACACACTGATCCCAAAACTACATGACTTTAAAGTGACTTCAAAAATCCTGATCCATCTCCCAATTAATTTTCATAGTGTAACTGTAACCTAAACTTCACTTTATTTGCAGCCAATTAAATGTGATTAGAAGAATAAGCTACCAACTAGGCTGTTTCCTTTCTAGCACTTCAGAACTATCATTTTCTTTTCTTAGAAAACTACTTCTCATGTTCAGAAGTTGGTGTCTCAACACAATTCTAAAGTCTCATATTTGACATAATTTCCCTGAGGAGCTCTTAGACTTCTTTCACTACTTATGCTTTGATTTATCAGTCATAGGGTCATAATATTCCTGGCTGAAAATTGTGTGGGCTACTAGTAAAACACAAGATTTTATTATACGTTATTGGATTTTCACAATTTGATCCTGGCCTAAATCTCCAGCCAATGTAAACAAATGGCTTTCCTTTGCAGCCAACATTTGTCATTTATAAAAGATGGATTAACAAATGGTTCCTATAGTCAGAAGCATTTGTATGTCACAACACATTTTATTTACCTGCTTGTTCAAAAAGATGTAGATGATGGGGTTGTAGACGGTGCTGCTCTTCGCAAGGATAGAAGGAATGATGCTGGCCGAGGAGGTGACTAGACCAGGTTTCCCAAATGTTGCTATCAGGGCCACAATCCCATAAGGCAACCAGCAAAGCAGAAAGCAAATGACCATCACAATCACCATGATCAGGACACGTTGCTCTCTTGTTTGGGCCATCCCTTTGGGTACTCCACTCACCTGAAACAGCAGAATAATATAGATGAAAGTAATGCCAGAACACAAGGAAAAAGATCTGATTAAGCAAAGTCTGGAAAAGGTATCTGTGTTAAGAGTGTTGCTCTCAGAATCCCCAGCTGGGGAGCAGATTCTGGGAGTGGAAATCCAAAATAATGTAATGCAATGTAGTGTAACATATATACAATTTAAATATAAATTTAAAGAATCCAACTCCTCCACACATAAATTATATCTTCATCGAATGGGTGGATTGGAGAGCAGGGGCACAATATTGGATTCCACCCCAGTCCCCTCCATGTGTGTAAAGCCCTATATGAATGCAAATGCATGCACTCCATATACACTTATACCTGAACACAGAGTAATTGGGATATAAAGAATAGGTGTGCCCCTCCCACTCACCACAGGCTCACTGAACATGCAGAGAACTCAAAAGAAAAAGAGAGAGAAAATTGGAAAATGTTGGAAGAAAAAATTACAGGAGGTACCACTTAGAAATAATCATATACTTGGAGAGATGATGGTGAACAACAGAATATTTCCTTGAACCATTTGCTGTTCTGTCATGTCAATTTCCTACCATCAGAGAGAATTGGTGCTCATGAGACAAAGCAAATGCTTCTTATCATGCAATTTGTCTAATGAAAAATTATCTAACAAATACTGTGTGCATTTCTGCTCGGTCGGAAGTTTAAATGTTCTGAAGTTCTATTCTCCATTCAATTAAAAAGAAAGAAAGAAAGAAATTCGCATGATTTCAAGGCATGCAGTCTGTCACAATTGCCCCAATGAATAAAGAGATCTTAGCACTGGGGATTTGTTGAATACTATTTATAAATTAATAAAACATCAATTTTCTTTTCAATGACAAGAAGGTCTTGCTACTGCAGTTTTAATTATGTGAGTAATAATTACCGGTAATCCAATGAAGCTGCCTTCTCCAGTCTGGCAGACTTAAGTGAGCCAAGTTTGTTTGAATATATGAATAAATGAATAGCAAATTTTAAAAAATCTGGTATCCCCAAGGATGGGAAACATTAGAGAGTCTTCTGATTTATTTAGCAACAAGTCTACATCACTTTAATGGCTTATACAGCGTTCTATTAAATACAGACATTTAAAATACAGTGGTTCTTTAAACAAGCTTTATAACACATATTTCTTCAACACATATACTAATAGCTCATATTCTTATCCTTGTGCAGCTGAAACACATACATACACAAACTCACACATCAAGAAGAAGGTATCAAAAGATTTGGAATGAACCCCATGGTTTGCAAAATGGCCCCCAAAAATTAGGCGGTGAGAACTGTAAAGTAGGGAGCAGAAATATGTCAGCAAAAATTCAATGGGCAGAATCCAGGTTAAAAAAATGCTAAGGTAAACTCAATTATATACATTTTAGTTGCAGAGTGCTGTAAGTTTGCAAGTCAGCATAGGCATCTGCTGCTGTACACTGAGCTTTGTGTCAGGTGTGCAACAGCTGTGCCTGTGCTGAATTCTCAACATGCAGCAATTCACAGCTTAGATTTGTACTGATGGAGTTACACTAGTGGGAGTAACTAATGGAAATCTGGCCAATATGCAAAATTGGAATAGAGCAGTGGTTCCCAACCTTGGGTTCCCAGATGTTCTTGGGATAAAACTTCCAGAAGCTTTCACTGCTAGCTTTGCTGGCCAGGATTTCTGGAAGTTATAGTCCAAGAACATCTGGGGACCCAAGGTTGGGGACCACTGGAACAGAGATTGCCAGTAGATGAAAGAGAAATGGAAAATATTGGGGATAGAATGAGGTACCATGCTAGCCACAACTCTGAATAAGATAAGTTTTTTTGCCGCATACCCCACTTACAAAGTGTATGATACCCAGATTACAATGGAGTTGTGAAAGCTTTTATTTCTCTACATCTTCGTACAGGGTTCTGAATCTAGATGCTTCTTGGTTGCACAGCATTCTATGGGATTATCTGTCTCTTTTCTTAGTTTTCCCAGGACTTCCCAGCCAGTAAAGTGTCCTCAGTTTCTTCCCATAATGTCTTAGATACTGCACATTAATCCTTAGATACTGTGCAGGAACTGATACCATTCTCCACAGGATTCCCTATCAACACCTACATAAATTTTACCTACCAATTCCTGCTCAGGATTAAGTTTGACAGTTCTGTGTATCTTGTACATGAATTATTATCCTGGACAGTTTTTTTGAGAGCTCTTGTTAAAGTCAGGCTTCTGCACTTACACCTTTTAAATAGCTGTGTACCACACCATTCAGTATACATGAATTTGAAACTGACCAATGAAAGAGCCTGAAATTGATAAGATCAACAAATTGCTATGCACAAGATATTGGTTCTGAACAAGATCTTGGTGCACAACCTGATGAAGATGAATTATCATTGAAAGCTAGATGTCTACTTGATTTTTTCAGTGATCTAATAAAGCTATTGCCTGCTTTTTCATTTGTATTGTGGCTTTTGTGGGGGGGATCCACTTGCCCTTTTTCTGATTGTTCTCCAACTTTTTATTTCACTCAGATCAAATTAATGTTGAATGAATAAAGTATCTGAATTGCTTAAGCCACATTCTAATGCTGATATGTGAGTGTATATGTTTTTAAAAATATTGCATGTCCTGCTCAGTTGGATTTGAGCCCAACCAAAAAGAAAAGCATTATCATTTTCTTAACAACAACCACCACACTTTGTTTCAGATCAGTCAACAATGTTCCCGCTTTGAAGGAGGAAGAATTTTTCAGATATGTTTATAGGGACCATTGATTCTTTCCACGCCTATTTGCCTATATGAATCGAATCTGTATTTCCTCAATAGCAGACTGGTGTTCCTTGAGTATGAAAGATATTAGTTGTAGATAGGTCAAATCTAGCTGGCCAGGTTGAGCAGAAGGACGTTTGCTTTTCATAAGGCATTAGAAAAAAATTAGATCTGAAAGTTTGTAATTGAGACATTTCAGAAATACGTGATTATACAAACTGACAATGTATCCAAAACCTTGTGTGTGCATGCAGGAGCGGAGGTAATACTATGTGCATATGTAAACTCTTGTCATTTCAGTGCAAGAAACCATTCTTTGCGCTATATAGATGCTTTTTACATGAGAGGATAATTTGATATACATTACAGTCCTGTTCCCACAAAGGTTCATTTGATAGTGCCAATAAAGTTAGAATGACATAATAGGCATCATAAAATGTAACTGACTCTTCTTACTGAACAAAGTAATAACTGTATCTGAAGACTGCCTACATAAGCCCTGTTCAGTGATTCAGAAACCATGTACTGTATGGTAAACACAGGAAAGGCAGGAGGCAGGGATGGGGACTCAAGTTGCCGGACTTGTTGTCAAGTCAAACCACTGACTTGACTCATTTTTTTTCAATGACTTGGACTCAACTCACAATTTGGAATCCACCCATCCCTCCCTTTTTTTTGGAGAAAAAAATCTTGTTTTTCATAGAGACTCAGCCTTGGGACTTGGGACTTGGTAGCAAAGACTTGGACTTGGAACTCAGATGCAAAGACTTGCCAACATCACTGGCAGGAGTACATTAGCCCCTCCCATCTCCATCCTTTGGTCTGTCACTGTGTAAGTGTAAGGGGCAACAACTAAGTTTGAAGGTGAGAATTTCCCACAGTGCTAGAACAGCATTGCATTGGTATTCAGAATGGCCATCATTTAAAGAGAAAGTAGAGATGGAATCCTATGAATGAGAGATCTCCAAATTGTCCTTTCCTCAGCAGCCCTGCTCAGTATTTCTAAACTCAAGCTTGTGTAATCATTTTGAATAATTATGTTCTCCTTCTAAAATAGTAATGATTTTAAGGCTTTGGATTTTACCCTCTTTCCCCTAAAATAAGACCTAACCTGAAAATAAGCCCTAGTATGATTTTTCAGGATGCTCGTAATATAAGCCCTACTCCAAAAATAAGCCCTAGTTAAGTGAAACCCTGCCCCCCACCATTGTGCAGCAATCAGAAGATGACATGACTATATTTGGATAAATGTAGATGATTGTACATGATGAAAATAAAACATCCCCTGAAAATAAGCCCTAATATGTTTTTGGAGCAAAAATTAATGTAAGACCCTGTCTTATTTTCAGGAAAACAGGGTAATATCAGGCTTTGTAACAACTGTTCTTTTCAACTTGACTGATTTTACTATTTCTCAGCAAAATATCATTTCCTCAATTAGGACTGCTTTCTATGTCCTGCTTCTATTAAGTTGCTACTATATGCAATGAGAAAATAAGTGATGGCAAGCTCAGAATCTAAAAGGAAGTTATACATGACATTTAGACAATGGAAAGCCATTGCTTACTGGCTGAGGGCAAAGGATAAAGCAAATCACAGGATGATATGACTGAAAAGAAAATAAGGAGTATAAAAATTCTGGAACATACTGCATATGCCAGAGTTCTACATTCTTTTGCAATGTAATGCAAATGGATCAATAATAGCTCTGAATGCTGTTTAAGATCCTGAGAAGCATGGGTAGCCTATAAAGTTATCCTATCCTCCCCTTCCCTTAAAATGAAGCAAAGCACTTGTACCCAGCATTTATCCTCATGGGAAAATCTCGTCTGCCTTGTTACATGGGGTGCTGGTTTTCCTGGTGGAGAGAAAAAGGAGGGAACAGTAATCAAATAATTCTGTATCTTCATGGAGAAGTGGGCAGCATTCTATCCACCAGTAATATTATCTTATGGTGACAAGTTAATGATATATCAGCTGAAGTGCTCTCTTGCTCAAAAATAAGGCTTTAAACCCTATTGTGCGCAGACATCATAAAACTTAATGTAAATGCCTTAACATTTTCCAAGAATTCAGCAAAGTATACAGAAGTTCAAGCCTGCAAAAACATTAAAATCAAAGTGAAAAAATCAAGTAAACTTGGATAGCGCAAGATCTAAAAAAACCCATTCAGCATGGAAAAATCCTCTCTTTAGCATTTATAGCTAAGACTTCATTTGACAGAA